AGACTACCCCAGACCCGGTCCCTTCCACCCGAGGCTCCTCCCTTTCCAGGGGCCCAGAGAGGCCGTTCCCTCCTACCCCTTTGCCCAGAGTCCTGCATTTCTGTCAGCAGCCCTGCCAGAGGGAGTTTGGCATCCCACTGAGGTGTCAATGCCCCTCTGGCAAAATCTGTGCTGGAATCAGCAGGGTTGGATTAGAGTCTGTATTGGCCCTGTCTTGTGTCTCCCCTCCCCACCCCATGGGGGGTCGTTTCTGAACCTGCCACTGGCGCGCCTACCTGCTCCCGCGATGCGGACACAAAGCACGGCTCCTTTCCCGTGTTCGGGTACGCAGCTTGTGGATAATCAAGGCCCATTTCCCCTGGCTGGCCAGGCCCCTTGGGACAAAACTGGGCTTTAAACCCACTTTGAGTGTGGTCCCGTCGCTTGGCTCGCGCTGGCCAGGGCCGCATTAGGAAAGCGGGGTTAACCAGAGCGAATTAATGCCCCGGGGCGGGCAAGGTGTGATTGTAATGCCTGTCAGCGAACGGGGAGAGCTGGCAGGATCCCCCACTCAACTTGACCCTGACCAGGTGCTGTGTTAAAATCTCTTGTGTGCGTAACACACAAGGCAAAATATACCCTAAAATCAAGCCCCCCGGCGGGGGAGGGAGCCAGGGAGTGTCCCTCTGAGAACAAGCAGGCTGTTCCGTTAACTGTGATGGCAAAGGTGGTGCAGCCGTTCGATTTCGTAGAACCGGCACAAACCGTGTGTATGCAGCTAGGCAGGTATCGAGATGCTTTATCCCAGCACAACTTACTCCTCTTCTTGCCTGGGAAGAGCCAAACCCCTGTAAACCCCTGTATGTCCATAGATCTCCCGCCCCATGCAGGGGTTGTACTGCTTCAGTGATGGCTGTGTAGTTAAAGCAGGACACTAGGAAGGGGAGAGCTGGGATTGGAGGGGGGGGGGGTAGCAAGGCCTCATCCCTCCCCCAGGAGCAAAAGATCTCTCTGTGTTGGCATTCACAAGATATTTAACATCCTGTGGCTTGTGATCCTCTCTTCCCCACACCTCATTTCAGTGCCCTGGCGCCTCGGCGCCGGGAGAGTGGGGGTGACCGGTGGAGGTTTATTTAAAAGCATCTTTCCCCTGACCTGGAAGGGGAGTTTTGAGTTTTAGGGTTTTTTATTGGCAGTCCCCGTTCCTCTCGCCTCAAAGGGCAGGTTGGATTTGCCGTCTGCAGCAGCCAGGAACAAGGGACACCGTCTCGTCTCCCTCATGACAAGGGAGCGGTCACGATCCCGGCGTGAGAAGGGGAGGATGGCTCTGTGGTTTCAAAACATGGGACATGGAGCCTGTCTCTGAACTGGCCTCTGACTCACTGAGTGGTCAGGGACTGGAGACTTCTCTGCCCCCCAGCCCTGTGGTACCATCTTCCCATGGGAGGGGAAAGGCGTAAGGCTGTGTGTGCAAAGAGTTTGAGCCCCTGCACGTGATACCCCCCTTCCGGACAGGGGAAGGACCAGGACAACCCCCCCCACAGCCCCCCCCACCTCTGCTCTACCCTGCCCCTGTTCTGCTCTCTCCTCGCCTCTTCCCTGCCCTTACTCCACCCTTGCCCTACCATGTTGCTCTGCTTCCCGCAGGTGAGTATGGAGCGGTCCCGACCCTCTTCCAAGTGACGCGGCCGGAGGAGCAGAGCGAGCTGGTGCCATTACTCTGCTTTTCTACGGGGAGTGTGATGAGGAGGCCAGGACCCTGCTGCGGGCGCCAGCCCCCTTGTCCCTCTCCCCGCCCCCGCTAGTCTCCCCACCAGCTGCTGGCCAGCCTTTCCCACCCACAGCATTTGGGGGGTGCATGTGCCCCTCCCCTTGTGCACCCATACATCACCTATGGTGACAAAACAGGGATGGCGTTTGACCAATCACGGGTATTTCTGGCCCTCATGAGGTGGAAAGAGCCAGCAACACAAACAGTCGCAGGCGTGGCCATAGATCTGTGACTTGAACTTCACACGCCATTCAGCTGGCCCGTGATCTCACCCGGTCACATGCAGGACCCTCTGTTAGTTCTCCATTTGCAGAGTGCTGACCTACGGGGTTTGAACGGGCTCCTGCCCCTCCTGACAGGCTGCGTCGCCACTAGGATCTATGTCACTTTCACATTCCTCCTGTCCAAATGGTTACAAAGTCTAAGCAGGTCACATTCGGGGCCTTTATCACCTTTAAGGATCCCAGAGCGCTTTAGGCCACCTGCCGAGGGCACTTTTTTCCCTACTGAAATGCAGCCACCTCTGGAGTGGAATGTGACCAGTGCTCACCGCATACAGTAGCACAACTGATTACCACAGAACATTTACAACAAAAATCTGTGGGAAGCTACCAGGGGGATTTACGGTGGCATAAAGTAATTAGCAGAGTCGGAGCTTTAGTTTGGGCCCTGGGGTATAAAGTAGTTTGATGGGGTCTGCTTGAAACTGAATCACTGCAAAGAACTAGAATGTTTATATACAGGGCTTGACAAATAATGCAATCTACTTGCCCGTGGCGAGCAGATTGCGGGTGAGAAGATTGCAACCCGGAAGAGCCGGGTTCGGGCGATCTGCGCATGCGCAGAATGATCTGTGCATGCGCAGATCACTAGACAGTGCGGCTGGCAAGCGGGGCTCCTGTTTATATACACTTTAAATCAAGAGCCGTCATTTTTTCCTTCCCTCTGATTCACACGGTGTTAGGTTGCAGAAGTCTGTTTCTCTCATCGGCGCCTGAGGAGGACAGTTGAACGGTTGGGGCATAGCTTATGTCATTGGCTGGATAATTTACCATTCGTTCAGCAAAAAAAAAACACAGGCAGGGCAAAGAATCTAACTTGTTCTAGGAATTCTGTTAAACAGCTAGTGCTTGGAGAGCTGCCTGGGAATTCGCCCAATCCAACAGAACTTGGACACCCAAGGGAAAACGTTTGTGTTTAAATTATCTTTCCCGGTGTTGCCAGTTCTCACGGTATTTGATGTGTTTTGCTTAAAGCCCCAGCTGCTGGAGTCATGGGAATCTGCCCTTTTCGTTTTAAAACAGAAGTAAATTTCTAGAGAAAAGTTTGAAACTGAATCGGAAAGGTTCCGTAACCAGGAGACCAACCGAAAGAAGCCAACTTGGAATTGTTTTTCTGTTCCAAAATTTCATTTATTGGGGAAGAGGGCTGACTGAATGTTTGAATGCTTGGGGTTAATGATGCTGCAACATCCCCTCCTCCTAAATTCGCCCTGCCATTCCAGTTCAACATGCCCTTCGTCAGGGGAACCCTGCCGGGCCGTTGTGTAGGGTGACTGCACTGCTACAGCCCACCCCAGAAGTGGCTGCTTGTCACTTGCAGCGTGTGTAGGAACAAAGCCAGTTTGCTCTTGCACCTTTCGGATCCCAAGATCTCAGTGTACAAAGACTCCCTGGTATCGCAGGGGTGTAACCACTCATCTCTACTCTCTCTCTCTCGTTCAATAAGGACTTTAAAGGGGTTTGGATACTTGCTGTCAGCCTCTCTAACACATGCAACAGCCCTTAACAATGTTTGACAAATGCTAGGGTCTGTTTCACCCCCAGTGCATTAACCTTGCGCACCCCTTAAGAAATGCATGGGGCGGAGAGCTTATGCCAACCTCCTGCTGTGGGGGAAATCTTCTCCCCTAACTAACCCAGTCCCCTGATACGTCACTCAGCCTTGCCTCCATTTCACAGAGGCACAGGGAGGGGAAATTGACTTGCCCAGAGGGCAGAGAACCCAGGAGTCCGGTTCCCAGTCACCCACAACCCCTCCCCCAAAGAACCTTCCTGGCCTCATTTCACAGTAGGGATGTAAACTCCCATTTAATCAGTTAACCATTATGTTTAACCAGTTAACGACTCACCCGGGATCCCACGGCCAGGGCTGGAGCAGCCCCTCCGGAAAGGGGGGCTGCTCCAGCCTGCTGGTTAATCAGTACGTGGCACCTAGTGACATCCCTGTGTCACCGTGTGCTCCGCAGGCCCAATTCAGACCCGTGGGAGGCAACAGACTTTGCAGGGAATCCGAGCTGTCGGTGGCCTGGGTTACGGGTGGAGGTTTGCTTGGTGGTGGGCGACTCCTGCTAGCCCCTCCCCACACCACTGACACTTGACTCTGCAAGGGCACTGGCCGCAAAGGCTTTTAGAGCACCCGGCACCGCCAACGTCTGCAGCTTTGGGGAGGGGCATTGTAGGGGGCAGTCCTCTGGAGCCAGTGCTGAATCGCTGCCCGTCGCTCGCCATCTGGTGCCCAGGCCCTGCAGCGGTGGGGGGAGAGGGGGCTACATGAGGCTCGTTGCTGGGCAGCAAGGCGCGGGGGGGGCTCTCCAAGCCAGGTGGCATTTGCTGCGTCCCAAGCCTTGGCATGGCGAAATGCAGATTGCAGCCGGCGCCACCCCCGTGCCAAGCATGCCAAGGGGGTGGCACTGCCCCCGGGGAGTGCAGGTGGGAGCGATGCCCCCCTCCCTTGCCAGTTGCACGTTCGGGGCCGTAAGCAGTTGGCAAAGGCTTCCCGGGAGATTCACCAGCTCTCCAGCCCCAGCTGTGCTGCCTGTGCCTCTGCCGCCGCCGCCTCCCCAGCTGGCACGATGCCCCCTGTGGGACCTGCACTTACCAGCTGCGGGGCCCGCTGCTGGAGTAGGGACCACGGGATTTGCAGCACCCCGGGGAGGGAGGGGGGAGGCTGCATCCCCCAGGTCTGCGGGAGCCTGTATAGAGGCGGGGGGGGGGGGGGGAGAGAGCTTGTATGTTGAAACTCTGATGCATCTGGGGTTGTGCAGCTCCTTCTGTCTGGGGCCAGAGGAAATCCCCGCACCGCATGGAAGCTGGGGGGGGTCTGCAATGCACCGGCCCTTGCCAGATCTACCCATCCTCCCCCAGGGTGGGGACCTTTCCCCTCCCCCCGCCCCCATCTGGGGAGCAGCAGGCAGGAGGTGGGATCCGGCCGGGGGGGGGGGGCAAAGTGAGGTTGCAGGGCGGGTTTTATCAGGTGGGGGGAAACCGCCATGTGCAGACACCTGGCGAAGTAGGGAGCAGCTCAGGGCTTGGCCTTTCTAGGGGGCGCTTACAGAATAACCTCCCCCTTCCCGCTGAGCCGTCACGCTGAGGTCCTGAGGGTGGATCGTTAAAGATCCCTCGTCACTTCCCGCCCTAGGAGGAAGCATGGCCTTGTGGGTAGGTACTGAGCTGGGATGCAGAAGGTCTGACTTCAGTCCCCAGCGTTCACTCTGTCCTTGGGCAAGTCACTTTGCTGCTTGGTGCCTCAGTTTCCCCTCCACCCTCTCTCTGGCCTATTTAGATTGAGCGCTTCAGGGCAAGAACATCGCCCACACAGCACCTAGAACAGTGGAGTCCTGGGGTCCGAGGGGGCCTCTTGCCACTACCATGGTAGAAAAAAAGCAGCATGTTAACCCCTCCAATCCTGGCTAAATTCCACTTCCATGCACGACATTCTTTCTCGCTGCACTTTCAGTTGAATGCAATTTTTCTACGTCTCTGGCCCTGTTCTACTGGGTTTCTGTGCACTGAGAGAGCTGCTGCATCTCACCCCAGAGGTGGCTGCCTTTCAGTGGTGGGCAAAGTATATAACCATAGCCAGTTTTGCACCTGCCCCTTTCGCATGTGGCTATCCCTGTGCATTAGAACCCTGGGTAAAATGCTACCCCCTCCCTTTTTACTACTAGGGGCGGAGGGGGATTAATCCGCTTTGCCCAGCACCCCACAGGGAATTGGGAATAAAGCTGGGATTAGAAAACAAAATTCCTCACTCCCAGGCTCCTGTCTGACCATTAGGCAAATCTGCCTCCTCACAAGAGAACCCAAGAGTCCCGACTCCCAGAATTGTGTTTTCTGCCTTCTAGGCAGCACTCCAGGATGGGACTGGGACCCAGAAATCCTGCTTTAACCACTAGGCCACAATGCTAGCTCACCTCTTATCTCTGAGGGTTAGAGAGCACTGAGATCCCAGAATGGGGCAGTGCCGTTACTTTGATGGTGCTCCGGCCTGTCCTCACCTCTCCTTATCTTCCAGCCTGCAACGTCACCATTCACAACCGCTGCAAGGACACCCTGCCCAACTGCACCAAGGTCAAGCAGAAGGTGAGCAGCCCATGGGGCTGGGAGGGGGGGGGTGTCCCCATGATCTGTCATGAGCACTAGGTGAGTAGGAGCTGTTGAAGTCCAGGTCGCCAGCTCCACTCTGCCTTGGTGGTTCCCTTTCGCTGGCTGATGTGCAGGGAACTGGCTGGTTGAAGAGGTTGGGAAGCCACAGAGGCTCCTAAGTAGGGGAAGCTTGGGGGTGGGGCAAAGCATTCGCTCCACCATGGCACATGCTCGCCCCATCGTGCCCAGGGTGAAATCAAGGAGACGCACGGCCCAAAATACCTTTAAACGTCTGGCCCCGAGGGACTCCAGGGCGGTGAGAGCAGCCCCTTGCACTAGCAAATGCGGGGGGGAGGGAGGGATACGCGTATATGCCTGTTCTAGCAGCAAAACCTCGGTGCGATAACCCGGCTCATCCCCTCCCTCCCTCTGCCCCCAGCAACAGAAAGCCGCCCTGCTGAAGAACAACTCCGCGCTGCAGAGCGTGTCCCTGCGGAACAAGAGTAAGTGAGCCAGAAATCCTGAGCGGGGAAGGAAGATTCCCCCCACGCTACCCTGTCTCGGGGTCGCTGGAGAGACTGGGGAGAAATGAAAGGAACTGGTTTTATGGGCAATGAGGGAGGTCTAATGGTTAGAGCAAGGGGGGCTGGGACAGTGTGTGGCTTAGAGCAGGTGGATGGGAGTCAGAACCAATGTTCCCTCTAATTTTTTTCCATCAACATGCAGAATAATTTTTTCTGTGCACCAAGGCATGTGTGGATGTGCACCACCAATAGAAACACAAACCTAGCTCTGCTAATCAGCCGGGCAGCTTTGGAATCTCTCCTGAGCAGCTACACAAGTGTCCAGCTTCCAGGGAGCATTGGTCAGGACTCCTGGCTTCTATCCCCGGCCCTCGGAAGGAGCGTGAGGCCTGCAGGGTCCAAACAAGGGGATTTGAGACAGGAATTGGTTTCCAGCTCTGGGAGAGGAAGTGGGGACTAGTGGCTAGAGCAGGAGGCTGGGGGTTGGGAAGCCTGGATTCTTTTCCCAGCTGTGCTGCTGACGGGCTGAGTCGATGGCTCATGATAGGTCGGGGGGAGGGGGGGGAAGTGCTGCGTTGCCAAAGCTGACAGTGTTCCGCTATCCCCCTTATGAGCTCTCCATCACAAATCAGCAGGATGGGGGCAGGCAGCCTAGGTCTCTAATCCTCAGGCTTGAAATCTGAACTTCCCACCCCCAGGTTCGGATCCCAGTTGGGCCATTCCCGACTGTGTCTGTCCCAGGGAGATGAATGTTCGCTGCATGTTACTCCACGTGGGGTTCCCAGCTGGGGGCTTTGGAAGCTCCCGTGACCCTACAGGCAGCACTTGCCTTAGTCCCCTTGACCCCAGCCATCCCACCCTGTTGTGCAGCAAGCTGCGTTCCAGTTGGCAGCTGCCCACCCCAGAGGTGGCCGCATTCCAGCAGCCCTGTGTGCGTAGTTCGCAAAGTGCCCTGGGCCATCGGGAGAGGAAGCCACCACCGCTGCTATTGTTCAGAATTGGCGCTGGGGGAGGTGATAACCAGGCCGTTCTCTCGTGAACTGGACCCAGCGTGGCTGAGCTGAGGTGCCCGTGGTGCATGCGCAGTACGGGGCTGCATAAGGATGGGCCGTGCTGTGGAAAAGCATCACATGCCTTTTCATAACTGAGCGAGATGCCCTGGGCAGCACCAGTCACCCCACGGCACAGGGGGCATCTTCGAGGGAGAGGGGCTGCCGAGAGAAGTGACAGGAAGGGGGCCAGAGGCTGGGATCCTTCCAGCTGGGTGGAGGAAGGCAGGTGATAAGGCAAACAGCAAAGGAATGGGCTGGAGAAGATACCTCGGGACTTGCTCGCAGCCTGAGTGTGAGCAGCCCTCCGGCGTTCGGTGAAATGAGAAAGTGGCTCGTTTTTAAACCGGCTTAGTCCTGGGGGAGCCCCTGGGCCTGAGGTGGCAGGAGGTCCGGTCAGGTCTTGGTCACTCATGGCCGCGAAATCTAGAGAGGGAATCTGACGTCGCCTCTGCCTTAAATATAGTAGCTGCCCATGCAGCCGAGTCAGGGACCGCTGCTGTCTCTGGGCCCGTCTCCCAGAGGAGGGGCATTCACACAGGGATGAGCGGGGAGGAAGATATCCCTCTGAATCGCCCCCTATCCGGGGTCGGAGCTGCCTCAAACCTGGTGCTCTCTGGCACCCCCTTTGGGCTGGCTGCAAGGAGCCAGGGGTCCCAGGGCTCAGCTGGCTTGGGGAAAGGGAGGGGTCTCCCCTGAATGACCTGTGGTGGGACCCTCTTTCCCAGGGCACCATGGAGCTGCTAACAAACCCCAGGCACTCTGTAGAGATGGGGCGATGTTGCGCCCTACACAACAGCCCCCTTCTCTGGGGCAGTGCGGCCACTCCCCTCCCAGTCTCCTTCGCCCCCACCCTCCAGAGCCAGCTAAGGTGGGGTGCTTGGTACGACTGACTTGATGTCACAGCCAGCAGGGCCCCTAGGAGAGCCCGCCCTGCACCCCATGAATCCTCCTCCCTCACCGCAGCCTATCCTGTAATTCCCATGCCCTCAGGCCAAAACCTTTGCCCATCCCTGCCCTACGATGTAGCCCCCTGTTGACTGGAGAACACCTGCTGATCATGGCCCCTCGGGGCTGCACACACAGGGTGAAATCCTGGCCCCACTGGAGTCGATAGCCCTGACTTCACTGGGGCCAGCCTGCCCCACACCCCCCAAGGCTGTGAGCCGTTCATTGGGGCGCTGCGCACCCTGGGGGTCAGTGTCCCAGCCCCAGCAGAGCGGCCGGCCTGTTGCTGCGGAGCTCAGTACCAGGAACTAGAGAAGGTGCCCCAGCAATTAGAGACCAGCCTGGGTGTTGGCAAACTCAGCTTCATTTCCCACCTCTGCCTGATGCTCTGAGCTTGGGCGAGTCCCGGGGGGCTGGATTTTGAGGGGCACTTTTAGTGCCTACCACCTATGGGAGTTACCTTGAAAAATCTGGGCCTAATTTTCTGCCCCTCTGTGCAGCGGGGTTCCTAGCCCAGGATAAATGCTTTGAGAGACGCTCAGGCCCTTTGGTTATGGGGGCTATGGAGAGAGGAAAAAGCAGAGGCTTTGAGCTGGGACCCCAAACGTTTTGTCCCTCCCCTGGTCACCAGCTCTAACCACTAGTCCTCGCTCCCTTCCCTGGCACCGAGGAGAGCTTGCCTGCTAAGCGTGGCTACTGAAATGGCTTCGGGGAGCAGAACCATAGTGCCCATTGCCACGGGCTGCACCGGGGTGTTCTGGGTCCCTGGCCAGGTCCCGTGCAGTGTGGAGCCACGTGCTGTGATCTGGCACCATGAGACTGGTCAGGCCGTGTCAGGATGGGTTCGCTGATGGGACCCGCCCTCCCCCAGTGCCTGAGCTCCTGGTGCCGCTTTGCACCGGCTGTTTGCTCACTCCCCCAACGTGCTTCCTTCTCCTCACAGCAGCCACGAGGGAGCGTCCCAACTCAGCCATCTACCCCTCGGAGAGCTTCCGCCAGACCCTGCTGGGCTCCCGCCGGGGGCGGCCCACCCTGTCCCTCTCCAAAAGCGTCTCCACCACCAACATTGCAGGGTAAGTGCCGGAGGGAGGGTGGGAGCAGTGTCTAGTGGTTGGAGCACGGCACCCGGACTCCTGGGGTCTTTCCTCAGCTATGAGCAGGGAGGGGAGGTGGGGATTTGGACTCCTGGGTTCCATTCCTGGCTTCCCCGTCTGACCGTCCCCTCCCGGTGCCAGAGTTCCCAGCTGTACACGATTGACTGTCTGGCGATGGAGCCACACGGCCAGGAGCTGCCGGGCTTCGGTTTCCTGTGTGCCCGTGTCGGGCTCTCGCCAACCTCGGCTTCTCCCCCGTCTCCTTCCAGGAACTTCAAACATGAGTCTCCCCTGGGCCTCCGGCGCATCCTGTCCCAGTCCACCGACTCCCTGAACATGCGCAACCGGACGCTGTCGGTGGAGTCGCTGATCGACGAAGGTGCGAGCGCTCTGCCGGGCGGGGGCGGGGAGCACACGCCAGGGTGACTCTCGAATTCCTCTCAATTTGGGGAGGGAGTAGAGCTGGTGGGAGGCCTGAGGCAGCAGGCCGGGGCTCTGGGCTAGGCAAGGACTGGTCACAGGCGTTATGGGACATAGATAGCAGGTGCCCCCTGGACTGCCCCCAGCCCAGTATGTGCTGCTTCCTCCCGCCCCCGCCGTCTCCGGGAATAATTGAGCCCAGCACGGGACTGGCTGCTGGCGCAACACCCCAATGTGCCCGCCTGGGCAGAGTCCAGAGGTGAGGGAGAGTTGCTCTGCCCCCGCTCCCCTCTCCTGTGCCCCCCCAGGGCTGCCTGACCACCCCTTCCCCAGCGTGCGCCAGCCTGGAGTTATAGCCAGTGGGTGTCGGGGAGGGAGGGGCTCTGCTTTCCCAGGCCTGGGTGGGGGATCATGACCCCTCGGGCCGGGCTCCCCCCACCTGGAACTGGCCGTTCTCCCTCCCAAAGGGGCCGAATTCGTCTACAGCCAGCTGATGAGCGACTTCGAGACGGATGAGAAGGACTTTGAGGCCGACTCCTGGAGCCTGGCGGTCGACAACAACTACCTGCAGCAGCACAAGAAGGAGGTGATGAAGCGCCAGGACGTCATCTATGGTGAGGCCTGGGCCCGGGCAGCACTCGGCTCTGCAGCCCACCCAGCACGTTCCCGTCCTGGGAGCACACAGCTCCTCCCGCTTCTCAGACTGGGCTGCCCGGGCGGGAGAGAGCAATGGGACAGGGTGGGGGCCGTGTTCCCCTCCACCCCCTGCTCGGGGATGTGCCACGTCCATGGCTGCGCGCAGGCCAAGGCTCACAGGCCAGGACCACCCCCTCTCCGTCTCCACCACCCCCTCCCCGGGCCTCCAAGGGAAGGAGCCCGCAGGAGTCTGATTCCCTCTTGCTCGTGATGTGGGTATGAGACCCAGCCAAGCAGGGACCCCAGAAGGGCTCACTCTAGGGTGGGGGGGCTGGCAGGAGGTGTCGTGTGGCTCAGTGTAGAACAGGGGAGCCCAGCAGGGGGCACCGTGCAGCTGGGCTTAGGGCGGAGTGGGGGCCTGGCAGCCAGGCCGGAGGGGGAGCAGCCAGGCCTAGGGGGGACCAGCAGGGGGTACCATGCGGCCAAGCCTAGGGAGGGCCAGCAGGGGGCGCCATGGAGCCTGGCCTAGAGCTGGGGCAAGTACAGCTGACCTAAGGTGGGAAGGGGCCAGCGGGGGGAGGGAGGCGGTGCCATAAGACCCGTCCTAGGACCAAGGGAGCCCAGCAGGGGGCGCCATGTGGCTCGGCCCAGGGCAGAGGGGATCCCACCAGGGGGAACTGTGCAGCCTGGCCTAGGACAGGAGCCCACGTGGGGCTCGGTGAGCATAGATTCAGTCCCGTGTTGTTACGGGGCAGCTGACCCTCCCAGCGCCGGCCCGACAGCCCAGAGTCAGGGCAGAGCGAGGGAGCTGCCGGGCTGGGGGTGCCAGTGTCGGGGCTAAAGCTAAAAGCTAGGCTGCCCCGTTGGGGGCTGGGTTGGAGTCTGGGGACACTGCCTTGGGGGGCCTGTCCCTGTCCTGGGTTGATGCCGGGGGGTTCCTGGCTCTCGCTCTCATCTCCCCGCCTTGTGCCCCTCCCCAGAGCTGATCCAGACGGAGCTGCACCACGTCCGCACCCTGAAGATCATGACCAACATGTTCCGCAAGGGGATGCTGGAGGACTTGCAGATGGACCCGGCCCTGGTGCAGAGCATGTTCCCCTGCGTGGACGAGCTGAGCGACGTCCACGACCGCTTCCTCACGCAGCTGCTGGTGGGGAGCAAGGAGTCGCTGGCCAACGGCCGCAACAAGAACATTGTTCATT